CACCTGTGTGGTGTGGGTCAGAGGGGTCACCACACCCACCTAACCTGTGTGATGTGGGTCAGGGGGGTCACCACACCCACCTAACCTGTGTGATGTGGGTCATTGGGGTCACCACACCCACCTAACCTGTGTGGTGGGGGTCAGAGGGGTCACCACACCCCACCCCCCCCCCCCCCTAACCTGTGTGGTGGAGTCAGGGGGGTCACCACACCCATCTATACCGTGTGATGTGGGTAAAGGGGGTCACCACACCCACCTAACCTTGTGATGTGGGTTTCAGGGGGGTCACCACACCCACCAACTGGGGTGATGTGGGCGGGGGGTCACCACACCCCCCCAACCTGTGTGATGTGGGTCAGGGGGGTCACCACACCCACCTAACCTGTGTGATGTGGGTCAGGGGGGTCACCACACCCACCTAACCTGTGTGATGTGGGTCAGGGGGGTCACCACACCCACCTAACCTGTGTGATGTGGGTCAGGGGGGTCACCACACCCACCTAACTGTGTGAGTGGTCAGGGGGTTACCCCCCACCTAACCTGTGTGATGTGGGTCAGGGGGGTCACCACACCCACCTAACCTGTGTGATGTGGGTCAGGGGGGTCACCACACCCACCTAACCTGTGTGGTGTGGGCCAGGGGGGTCACCACACCCACCTAACCTGTGTGGGTTGGCCAGGGGGGGGGGGTTTACTAATACCTCCATAACTGTAAAGGTGCGAACCAGGGTCACCACACCCCCTATACCTATAGGAAATGGGTCAGAGGTCAAAATACGCACCTAAGCCTGAGCGGCGTGGGTCATGGGTCACTACACTATCCTAAATATACTTATATTTACATTGTTAGTTTAGTAAGTAATGATTACTGAAATTTTTTGTCATTATTACAGGGTAATTAATATTGAGTAATTGCAGTGTGGATTAATATTTTGTTATTGTGACGATTATTATGTCGCACTTGTGTGTTTAATATCTCTCCATTATAGTGTGATTAATATTGCGTCACTGTAGTGTGATTAATGTTGCGTCATTTTATTTTGAAATACGAGTCATCATGGTGATTAATACTGAGCCATTGTAAAGTGATTGTTATTGAGTTATTTTAGCGTGGATTAATATGTCATCATTGTAGTGTGATTAATACTGAATCACTGTATCACTGATTAATAACTCTGTACAACAATTCACGAGAAATTTGCACTTAAGAGAGGAATCTTATGGCAACGTTTCGGTCTTTCCCGGAGCATTGTCAAGTGACTTGACAGTGTTTCAGGACGGAGCGAAACATCTTCATGGGTCTCCTCTCTGCTCACGTGTCTTTCTAAAGCAATTTGTAGGTAACTATTACCAAGGTACAACGAAATTTAAAATTCAAAAAATTTACACGCAGTCTTTGATGTCCGATTCACTAAATCAAACGTGGTCGTTAAGAACACACACAAAAAAATATTCATAGCAGTTTACATGTTGAAAATAATCTAGTTTACAGCCTACTTGTATGTAATGTTGGACTTGTCCTTTGGCTGACTTTGCAAATTTCCTGAAACCAGTAATAGACGATTTGTTGTAGGGTTAAGCCAATGGAGGGGAACTCTCCCTCGTTATATTAAGACCAATCAGAGTGCTATATAACGCTCTCGTGCAGGCTGGAGAAAACCAAATGTGAAACTATCCCTTAGCAACCTCGAACAAGTGTGTTTTGTTCCAGTTTGGTCATACTGGAGTCCACTGCCGCTGACACTCATGGAGGGACGTTCGTGAAAATTTCACGTGACAGCTAAATGATTATACTTAGTGATAATGCTAATGAAATCCGGGAATCAACTGAGGAACTGTGTGTAAAATGTGCAGCAAAAACTGTACGTCTTGTAATTGCTTATTGGAACCTTAGGAAAATGTTTTCCATTATTTTTAATAAATGACAGATTGTTAATGAACAATGCACGGAAAAATTATTGAATATATAAAAAAAGTGTTTTATGTGAAAGGTATATACAAATAGAATAAATATTTATAAACACAAATGACTGCAAATTCATCACAGGATATATACACCAATGGGTGTATATATCTTGTATATACGCTGAGGGATGTGTATATCCAGGGCTGTACTTGTGTGGTTTATTGGTAGTCATTCTGATTAACTTGCGGGATAAACGTGAAAAAATGCCACAGCTTAAAACCTGTAAAAAAATGAAAAAAATTCAAGACTTGAAACCGCCCTAGAACACACATGATCTTCATTTGTTAAAGATATATGAAAATCCCTAATGGGAATGATGTTGGGTTAAACACTACATTATATCCTGTTCATACAAAATTCCCAAAAATAAATATTGCAAAAGAAGAAACAACTAAGTATTTGTGTATCAAAGTCACATATACTAATTAATATATGCGAGGAATGTTAGTGTCAGTGAAAATGTTTATCCTGGCTCTGTCGTCTGCAAGCCTTCGTTGGTGGTCTCGTTGGTGGTCTCGTTGGTGGTCTCGTTGGTGGTCTCGTTGGTGGTCTCGTTGGTGGTCTCGTTGGTGGTCTCGTTGGTGGTCTCGTTGGTGGTCTCATTCATGGTTTCATTACAACGTCCAGCAAACAAATAAGAAAAATCAGCGAGCATTGTGGAATTTCATTAATCTTTGTAACATATTTCCATTCCTGCTAAATCTTGGTGGATTTCTTCTGTTCCTCACTCATGTCAGTTATATTGTTGGGAAAGAAAAGACAAATATGAGTGGAAGAAGTGCAGTTTGACATGTTGAAACCTAGTCGCTGGTGACTCTCCGATAGTTGATTTGCCAGTGACTTGCAGTTGACGTCTCCGTGCTGCCGAAAAACCACTACGAATGTTCTTACACGATTACTAAGCTAACTCCCGGTGACCACTGCCGTCTGAAGATCACTGCCAGCCATGAGCTGGAGAATTTGTGGTCCTATAGCTGCGCCTTCCTTAACCTTGGCCACAGTTTGCGATACTTTTCCAACTGGTATTTGAATCCTGGGTGATTCTTGCCCATTATCTTGACCAGTTGCTTCATTTTAGATCAAGCTTAATGTGCAGTGAAGGTAACAAAATCTTGCCCTTTGAAACTAATGGAGCATTGGTTAAATATTACGGCTTCCCAGTGTCAAAAACCATTAAAAATGACACTTCACCGTGATTTCAAAGAGTGGAAACGAAACAAAAATATTTTTTAGTCGAAATGTGTATTCATAAACTATGCATATTAAGGGTATGAATATGTTTTTCGTAACGTAATCTCTTAAAAAAAAACTTATCAATCGTAATTGTAAGTTTGTTTATTTTTCTCTTTGTTGCACTGTATTACCAACTACTGTAGTAATTGCAATAATAATAATAATAATAATGATAAAAGTCTCAGATCAACAAATTTCGATATCAGATGCAGATTCGCTTCACGACGGCGCTGCCTGACGCAGCATACAACACTCTATTCATATAAAGTTACGAGAGAACACAGAATAGTTACCTAAGTGGCGAGAGGATCGCCTCAACAAGCACCGGGGGTAATACAGAGCAGGACAGGCTTATCAGAGGTGCAAGTAAAAGTATTGCAGCTGTCGGCACCAGTGACCACGATGAAGACACAAGCGCAAAACGAGCTTTTATTGAGGCGTTTCACTCTGCGTAAAGCTTTATCAAATCTGATAATTTGATTAGGCCTACGGAGAGCGAAACGTCGTCACAATAAAAGCCTGTTTTGTAACAAGCCAACGAGCCAAATGAAAAGTATTATTAGTGATCGTAAGAAAGCGTTTCACAGTTGGTCCTAACGCAGGGGAATGGGAGGTAATCAGGTTTGATTCGAGGAAGAGGAGGACAGCGCTTATTCTTTGGATAAAGAGTCCTTTACCAGAGACCCGAGGTTATTTAAGCATTTCAGAAGAACACATGAATTTTTTTTTTTTATATTTTTATTTAAAAGGACACAGTACAAGATATAAATAAATAAAAGAACACAATTATTAACCGTTTGAAAATACAATGACCTACCATCAACCCCATAGCATACCACAAGTGTTACATTCATATTGTATTAAAGAATATACCATCACCCAACAATGAAACGAACAGGATAAACCTGCTCAGAAAAAACATCAACAAATTCTAAACCTACAAATCATGCCTATTATACAGTACAGTAAAACCTCCTTGCAAAAAAGTACACAGATGATATGATGCAGCATACGAAGGAAAAAAATCATAATTACAATAATTAAACAAAGGCTAACCCAACCCTACAATAAAATTACAAAGACTACCACATAATACTTCCCGCAAAAAAGCAGGAAACTCTTAACATAATAAAGAGCGAGAGAGCTCCAGCACCGAACAAAAAAATTAGCAAAACCCAAAAACTCAAAATTTTATGTCTGGTCCACATAAATCCCCCACAAATCTGTACAATTAGACCCCTTGCACAAAGTGCACAATAAATATTATTTAACATACAAAAAAATTAAAATTTTAAAAAAAT